AGGGGTGTTACAAGTTGGTATCAGAGCTCTAGCTTAAGCGAACTAGGTAAGGAATATGACGCCTAGACTTAAGCCGGAATTATAAGAGTCACTTGGTGTGATGTGGGTAGAACTTTAGGATAAGAGAACTTTGGAGTCAAAGGAGTTGCATAATTCATGAATTGTAGCGATGGTGTGGAGGATCCTTATGTATAACTTATTCAAAATTTCACTTAGCTAATGTTATTTTGAGTAAGTCGTTACATAAGCATGCTTGAACTCACTGTTATTACAAAATTATGATTGTGTCGGTACCGTATTATGTTGATCCCGTATTTCTTTCCTCCCTATCCTAACTCTCTGTCACTCTCTTGCTTACGCCTAGTACTCTAGAAGATGTTTAAGGCATTATATGGAAATTTAAGGGAGACTTGTTTGTGTATATGTAGTGGATTAAGCTAAGAGATTAACCTATAAATGGAATTAAATGATCTAGTATTGGTGGGTCTTTTATGGATATTTATTGGTGGGTCTTTTATGGATATTTTGTTACTGGCTTGTTAATTGTTCACAGGATTGGAGACATCCATGAAGACTTAGTGACTAAGCATCTTCATGAAACCTTAGAGTTGTATTTGGATCAAATTGGAGTATTTGTTATTTGAGTTATTTATGAGTTTTTAGTTTGATCTATTCTGTTTTAAGTATTGTCGGTTCGGCGAGTACCAGTGAAGTTTAAGGGCTGAAGATATGCTGCATCTTGAAAGAATCTAATAGGTATTGATTGAAACAGAGGGTTTAGTCTAAAAGCTACTGTCGGTAGACATAGACATTTTGCTCGGAACACAAGACTGAGGATGTGTCAATTGCATCATTTGAGAGTATTTTCAGGGTGGCTCTATTTTGCTATCTAAGCTCGAATATTGTTGTCTATGAAGATAAATCGTCGTGAAGTGGTTGAGGTTAAGATATTGATGGGTATGGTAAATGGGGAAAATTCGAAGTTGAGCATATTTGCAAGATGGTAAATGAGATTCTTATGGAATGTTATATATTTGAGACAAGTTGTCTTAGGTTGTGGGTTAGCCTGGAGAAGAATTGAGCTGCTATAGCAACATAAGTACATAACAGTAGCTGGGTCAAGAGTCTGGTGTGGGGGCACATGATGGAGCTGTTGTACAATAAGAGCAATAATCGATTGCAGGCTTGTAGCAAGATTTGTTTTAAGCTATTAATCCTTCCCTTGTGAGGGAACTATACTTGGTATACCATTTCAGTTGTTTATTTGTTTATTATGGACTTCTTTGATCAATACCCAATTAGCTGGGAGTAAAATTTATGCTCACATGGGTTCCTCTTGTATTTGGTTATTACATTTATTACACTTGGTGCTAAATCGGTGGGGCTTTGCCCAAGGATACTGCTACCTAATTTAGTTTAGCTGATAATGATGTTTCTCTAACATGCGCTAAGTTTTACACTTTCCCTTCATTTCTCTTGTGTGTAGTTTCACCGCCCTTGCTGACCTTGTATATATATATATATTTTTTTTTCTTCCTATTTTGAGTGGGCACTGAATATGAGCAGAATGGGAAGGATGTTGTCAGAAAAGCTATTGTTGTGCACGACTCTGGAAGTTGACCCTGTCAGATTAGATTTGACTGGATGACAAAGTCAATGAGAAAATGTCCAGAAAGTGGTGCCATGATATATTAAAGCTTTTTATGTAGTATTGGAAACGATTTTGTTGTGGTTATCGATCTCCCTTTATGGGTTTACCTCACCATGTAACATGTGGAAATAAGACCTGTATTTGTGGTTTTCTTTGAACTGGAAATATGATGTTACATTTTTGGTTAAGAAATAGCACGTTGACAGCATATGTACTTTTAATCGAATACTTTTGAGGTCCTACCTTGACTACGATGACATCTTTAATTTAGGTATGTTTTTATACCTGTGGGCATCAGAATGATGTTTT